TGGCTCTTTTCTTCGTTCTCTATATTCTCTTAAGTGATTTTTTTGCAGTTTAACATATTCCAGACCTTTGCTGGCAGAAGCAATTCATATAACCTCCCTTAGAAGTGTATTCAGTTGGGAGCTGCCTGGCTACACAGGATTTTATACATCGTTCAGCTAAGTCAGCGATCCATATGCAAAAATCAAGTGCTCAGGGACACCATGTGGATTTGTGACATTCTTCAGAGTACATTGTGTCTCTAATAAACCAATGAATGGATTAAACTCAGTCATAAAAATGTTTTTTCTTCCTCTGTGACACATATAATATGGATAAGCTTTATTTAATAAGTAGCTAAAAACTAACGCCAAGCACGTTACTTAAACAGGTTAAAAATACACCCCTCAGTTTTATCACCTGCTTAGGAAGAGGAGGGAGAGCACTCAACAAAATGTATAAAACTGAGAAACACCATGCTGAACACTAATGTGGGACATCTCGATTAAGTAAATTTCATTTTGGAAGCTATTTTTGGCTTATAACAGTTGGAAGCAGAAGAGACAAGCAAACCTTTCCTATACTGTATTTCCTGACAAGCTATTTCATCTTGGCATTCCAGGATAGATTATTTCTTTGTATCACACTGTTGTCACGAGTTAGGCACTGGATAATGGATAGTTTTAAAAGCAGTCCATCTGTATTTAGTCAATAAAGTAATGGTTTGTAAACTTACTCAGCAGCAAGCTGTTTCTTGAAAAGAACAGAAGAGCATTCAATGGAAAAGACTGACAAGACTTGGTGATTTCCTAATGATGAGATTTTGTTCTTTGCATGGTCATGCTTACTGCTTTCAGGAAACCCCTTATCTGCCTACAAATGACAAACAATTATTTGACTTAATTAGCAAACCCTGGGTCGAGTTCCTGTTCCAGAATGATTGGCACTGCGACTGGCTTGAAAACTTGCTTCAACTGGGAGATGTCCTTGATTTTTCCTTTTTATTATTGCTCATATGCCAACTGCCTGTAGCAGGTGTTGGGATTTCAAGATGCTTAAGATTTTCAGGTTTCTCACAGACCTTTCTGGCGGCTCAGTGCATTTGTAACACCACACCTCCTGCTCCTCTCTCATTCCCAGTGTCAAAGGGATGGTGCCAGTCACAGGATCCACGGCCGCCTGCTCTGCACTCAGATGTGCTTCTCCCTGGTGCCTCTCCAGTCTTGGAAACAGGGCTAAACCCAATCACACCCAGGAAAACTCACCGAAGGAAAAAAAGTCACACAGGCTTTGCTGACTGAAGGTGTCCCAGAGTCCAACAGCTACTTTTGAAGCCCCAGTTTCTTACTCAGATCTTCTCTCTCAAGACAGAAGTCTGTCTGTACTACAGTGGTGTCTTTGCTGTGACTGGGAAGAGTATTAATCTACATACAGACCTCGATTCTTTCGTTTTAAAGGAACAACCCTCTAATTCTCATTTATCTGCTTTAAACATTTAATGAAATTATTTGTTTTCTCTCTTACTTACTTACTGCTTTCTTGAAATACCCAGTAGAGCATTGTGGGTTTTAGAGAGGATCAGGCAGTCCATGGTTTTCTTCCTGCACTTACTGCAGTCGATGGGAATGTTGGTATCATCACCAGGAAGCCTCAGGTTAAGATATGTAACGTAAGAAGTCCTGAAGTTAGGTTTAAACCTCATGATAAGACACAGAACATAAGGAAAAGAGTAAGGATTAGGACAGGATGAAGTCTATCACCACAAAGTTATACAGGGCCTTCAAGAACAACACCGACTGGAAGTTGTTGTTACCCTAACTCACACGACAGAAGGGGTTGACACTATTTTTCAATTCATGATACTTTCTTTCACACATTGCAAAATATATTTGGATCGTCTTTTCGATAGAAAATTTATATTTCTTCAAATCAGCATATCTTCACAATCTAGCAATATTCTGTCCCGTAAAACACACACAATTAGTTGTTTTTGGAAAACAAAAAAAGTGGAGAAAAATGAGCTGGGTGTTTTTATGGGTTTCTCTTTGACCCTGTCTGAAGTGCATCCACAAATGTTTTACGCATTTATTGAAAAAACTGAAAGTAAACTATAGAATAATTAGATATAAAAACAGATTATAGAAAGATTCTGTCCAATTCCATTTTAAAGCATCTGCACAGAATACAAAGAACTGTTGGTAAGAAAGAAATCCAAAGTATTTATTTTGAAGTATTTAGTATCACAATAAACACAGCTGGGCATCTGGCCAAGAACTCTTAAACACCTATGATAAGTTACAACTTATCATTTCTAATTATAATATCCTGTAACTGAGCTCAGGAATCTTCTGTTACAAATTTTGTTTTGCTTTATAGGGAGGATAATAGAGTTGTTGAGAAAATAAGTTATATTCAGTTCTAACAGTATTTCTTCTTTTTTGTTCACTACATGCTATTTAATATTTTTCTTTGTACACTTTGTAATAGTTGTGCTTTAAGTGAAACTCTGAAAAACAACATTAGGATTCAAAATGCGCTCGAAGATTTTATTTTCAGGGTCACAAGTAGCATAGCGAGATTTCTCTCTTAAACAATGACACTTAGTATCTCTGTAGTTCTATGAATACTTTTGAAGTGTCATATTAAAACCAATCTCTTGGCCTTCAGGCAAAGAGAAGCAATTAGTCTTGGAGTTGTGAATAAATAAAAATCCATTTATATACCCGTCCTTGACACGTACCTTGCAAATCTTAGAAACTTCATCTAGTGGGAAAAGAAATGTTAAATCATGAGCACCAATACTAATCATACTGCAATGTTGCTTCCTAAAACTGTTTAGTTTATATCAATCTTTTAAGTATTAATTCATATGTATATATTCATACATATTGAAACACAACAACAGAAAGGCACTCACACATTGGAGTGAGAAGAAAGAAATGAGAGCGTGCATATAGAGCTGTAACACGTACCTTTATTACCCTCAACATTAATACAGGCAAGAAAAAACTCAAAGCTCTCGAGTACATTGTCCTTTTCTCAGATAAGGTAAAAACAATCCCGCAGAAGTTACGTACCATGCTCATGCATTTCCATCCCAAGTGCTACTGTGTCTTTGCTTTGATCTACAAGCAAACAAACCAACGCAATCTTTATTATCCGTGCATCCCATTTCCATGCAACACAATTAAATAGTACCTGTCACAGATGTGTTGGGATGAGTCAGATCACAATTTCTACTTTTCGTTCAAGTGCAGTATTTTTAGGTCTTCTCCTTCCTCTTTACTGTGCCTCAGTGCAGAAGCGTCCTATTTTTACAACGCTCTGATTGCTGTTCGAGATTCTCATATTTATTTTTCATTTAGCAGTCAGTAATTCACAGAGGAAGTAAAAATTATGATGCCAAGTCATCCCAAATAATCCGCCTGCACCCCTACGGAAAAGCTGAGTGGAACTCAGGCTGCACGACAGGTCACTGAGTCTCAGTGGAGTTTGTCCTCCCCGTATTCACTTGTTGACCAGAGTGGTGAGGAAATGAGAGTACTTAGGCTACAGCCTTGTCCAACCATCAGGTGAAGCAGTTGGCTGGGGACACGCTTGTGTTCGGAGGTTATTTTAGAACGAAATCCACCCCTCCGTGCCGTGCTCGCACAGGCAAACACAGAGTCCCAGCCTGGAGGTCGGCGGTGGGACGGGGACCCCCACAAAGATCACACCTGGGCTGATGGGATGGTCAAGGAAAACAAATTTTAGTCTGTTCTGGATGCAAATCTCTCTGCTGACCTAGTTCTCATTCTCCTTTTCATTTCAGAAGCTCAGCTAAAAATCCATAAATTAAGGAAATTAACTGATGGAGCCTCCGGCATCTTTGTAAGCTATTTAAATCTTTAAATTTACAACATCTTCTGCATATATCAAGTAATTGAACTAACTGCAGGGATGTAACTTTAATGAGAAAATTTCCCTCTTCTCCTGTAGTTTGTACTCTAGAAAAAAAAAAAAAATAAAAAAAAAAAAGCTCCCCTTAGGAGAAAAGTTTCTGTTTATTCCTGCCACGGAAGAGAACTTTAAAATAAAATCTAAAAAAAAAAATAAAAAAGCCAAAACACAC